GCTGATGGTAAATACTTGCTGAAATATAATCATGTGCATTAAAATGACGTGAACAAATTTTTATTCCGGAATTCACTTCTTTGATACCTACTGCTTTCATCCAAGCTTCTATTAGTTTACTTTTTTCTCTAATTTTCCGAATATATTTTTTACATATATAAAACGGTTAGTTTTTATTGGAAAGTAGTTAATGTAGGTGAAGAGTGAAGATCTATGTCTGAAGTGCTATTGCAGCTTTTCACTGAACATATTAACTTTTTATTTGATTTAACTTTAGAAGAAAACTTCGTCGACTCCGTCATCAAAAAATTTTTACTTTTTTAACGTGTTTTATTATTTTAATAAACAATTTTACAGTTTGCGTGCACAGTTCCTATGTATGTTTACCAACTGTTACATAAGATGCACACGACTAATTTAAGTGTTTAGGACGACACACGTAATTTTTTATAGGAACACTATCAGGAGCCTCTTGGCAGGGCCGCTTTAATTTCCTTTTTAATTTACGTGATAATGGACACTTTCTATAGATTCGAGTAATTATGTACAAATTAACTGATAAAGAAACTGCACCAAAAATTAAATTTACTAACCAAATACTCAAAGCAGATAAGAAATACCTTTATAAAAAGGACTTCCATTTCAAAACAACCTATACGTTTATCGATCAAGATGATAAGCCTGTTAATTTTCCTGGCCTTTGCTCCATTTGCTTTAGGTAAACTTTTATTTGGTATATTCAGTGAACAATTGGTTACTAGTTCTAGTATATTGTTAAACGTTAAATATAAATTACATTCGAGATTTTCTATAGCTTTCCCCAATGAGCAACCTGAATCAGTTAGAATCTCGGGAGGAACCTCCGCGACAATTAAGGAATTTCCTTTTATTGTACAAATGAAAGGGGATGATAGTACTACTGCAGACTGTGATGGGTCAATCATTTCAAATGTTTGGATAGTCACCGCAGCTCATTGCATACGTAGGTATGTTATCCAATAATAATTAATAGGTTTTAGTAACTGCCGCTAACACAGAGATCTAATTAATTTGAAATAGTTTAGTTTAAAATGTAAACAGAAAATGGAAAATACTAATTTATTGATTGTGGGTACCACTTTTATGCATACTATATTATTAGCTTCTGATTAAATTTCTCTATTTCAGACTACATGCCGAAAATATAACTATTCGGGCGGGAACAGACCAATTCATGAAAGGTGGTGTAGTAATACAGGCATCAGAAATACATGTCCATCCCAATTATGATAAAAAGACAATAGATTATGACATAGCTTTAGTCAAACTTGCTTCAGAACTTCCTTTTGGTACAAATATAACCTCAATTTCTCTTGCAAGAAGTCGACCTGCAGTGGGAACGATGGTGGTCATTTCTGGTTGGGGAGATTATGCTGCTGATAATCATACCATCCCAACACAATTACAAAAAGTTACAATACCAATTGTTCCTGACAAACAATGTCCTGATGTACATACTGAAAGAATGATATGTGCAGGATACCGTTATGGAAACCAAAGTGCTTGTTATGTAAGTATTATAAACAAATTCATTTACTGCATGCACAGAAAAATACTGGGTGTCCAGGAAGGGTTACAAGTACTACAACGGTGCAATCAATGAAGGACTAATATTTGTTAATGTTGATACAGGGTGACTCTGGTGGCCCTGTGGCTGTAGGAAATACCCTCATTGGTATTGTTTCTCACGGACGTGGTTGTTCTGGAATATCAGTTAACTCCGACGTTGCCAATCTTCGTAGTTGGGTTTTATCAATTGCGTCAGTCTAACATACAACCCTATAAGAGTATGAATTCGAAATGGAGAATTTATTTTAAACCACAACTGTTACTGATAATGTAAAAGATCAGAAGTATGCTGAAAATTGGTCAACCACTTTGGAATTAAAACAACCTTCTNGCAGGTATGTTATCCAATAATTAGCGTCAGGTACATTTAGAATGAAAGTGCATGGTGGAAAGTAAAGATTTTCTCATTATTTTAAACATGCCTTTTTTAATTTTATTAATCTGTACCCGGATATTTTTTTAACTTATTTTGAAGTTGAGTCCAATTGAGTTATCCCACCCCATCAGTATTCTTACGCGCTTACACAGATGTGAATCTTCGCAATTGTCTAAAACTGATTAATTTCAACTGTGACAATTTAATTATCATATTATTGTGGTTGTATTCTTTCTTAAGTAAAAAGAACCGTTTAAATATCCTCTCTCTTAAAGGTTTTTACCTTTTACTTCACACAATAATGCTCAGCGAAAGGACAAAAGCAGCACATTTCGAATTTTGAAGTGATAATAACATTAATCTCAGCGTTACGAACTACTGCATAAATGACATCTCCGGCTTTTGTTTCCTGATCGTTAACCTTTGCAATTAATTCGCATTTTGCTATGTTTATTTCAATCGATCCACGCGTCTCTGGATAATTAATTACTACTGCATAGGATGCTCATGCGGTGTTTTAGCCTATTCTGCAACGGACCTTAGTTATTCTACACTAAAAGCCAGAGATTTTAGTAGGTTCCATTATCCATTATAATAACACTGGCCATTTTATTCCGCGTACTGCAACACTTCCTGCTTATTAGATTCCTCTGTTTTCAGAATGCGTGCCGCAAACGTAAGTATTCGGGCTGGAACTGACCAATTCATGAGAGGTGGTGTGGTAATAAGGGCCTCAAATATATACGTTCATCCGAGTTATAGTAATGTTACCCAGGATTATGACATAGGTTTAATCAGACTTGCTTCACCACTCACTTTTGGTCCAAATATATCTGCAGTATCCCTTGCGAGAAGTAAACCCGCAGTGGGAACGTCGGCTCTTGTTTCTGGTTGGGGAGATTTAGATTCTACCAGCGAAACCATCCCAACACAATTACAAAAAGTTACACTACCAGTTGTTGCTGACCTCCAATGTCCTCCTGTGTATACTCCAAGAATGATATGTGCAGGATACCGTAATAGAAGCCAGAGTCCTTGTTATGTAAGTGTTCCTTGTTCGAAGGATTTCCTTTAATTAATTGTGCATGTTCAGATAAATATAGGGTAAGCATGAATGTTTACATGTAAATAGTTTTATGGGGTCCAAAAAAGAAACGATCATTAAATAAATAGTATTTCTTTTGTGTAATGCAGGGTGACTCTGGGGGCCCCTTGGCTGTAGGAAGTACCCTCATTGGTGTTGTTTCCCACGGCCGTGATTGTACTGGAATTTCGGTTTACGCCAACGTTGCAAGTCTTCGTAGTTGGATATTATCAATTGCATCAATTTGAGTTACAACTCTATAAAGTTGTGTAGAGAATATATTTTAAACATTCATTATTACTGATAATGTAAACAATTATGATAAAATAAAAAATAAAAATAGTATAAATATATGATTAAAGAAAATGAAAATTATTTATTAAACTTACGATTACTATTGTACCATGCAAATAATTACCTTTGCTTTGCATTTTCTTTGGTTGTGAAGAATTTTCGTTTTACCTATACGGGGTGTTCCACCTATGGCGGTTTCGTTAGTAACTGTATTATACATGTTAAAAAAAAATGTTTTTATAAAAGTGGTCTGGAGTCATATGGTCTATATAAATATTTTCAGTCATACAGGGCGTTCCTCTTCTTTTAGACGTTATCTAACTGCGTTATTTTAAATTTATCGCCCTGTATGTTTTTACTTTTTTGGCTCCTTTGTTTTATTTTCGGTGGACTGGTAGTTTGAGATATTCAACTATTAAAACAAGGAATATTAAAATATAACGTGTAATTATACAGCGCGCTACTGAAGTAAAACTTCTTCCTCCTTCAAACACACAAACATAATGGGATAGGGGTTAAGGAATTGCTTTAATGATATTATTTGTACACTACGAATTTAAATTTTACACTATATATGCCGGAGTTGCCTGTAACGAACGTTGCGCGCTCACGGCTCAAGCGATCCCCACTACGAACTCGACTACGTGGCCGAGTAGAGGGGGGGGACATCCGTTGCATGATTTCGTTACATAGCAACTCGCATAAAACGAACTTACCCTACCGTGGGTAAAGAAGTTTCACTTCAAAAAAAAGACCATTTCAGCTGTTATAAAATAATAAACCATAAAAGGGAAAAATGTGTACGTCATTCAGAACCGGAAATATCGAAACGTACCTTTGACAATTTTGAAAGGCAAATATTTTTTTTTCTAATTGGAATAACACCGTTCGATGCGACGTCAAAAGTAATGGCTCTAGCTGTTAGACATGAGTTTACCGGGAGGGTAACCAATTGCTTACAGCTAAAGGGGGGCGGCATATCGAACGATTAGAGAACCATAGTACCAATAGAAAGAGAATGAAATTGTACGCAAGGCTATGGAGATACATACAGTGTGTTTCATTTGAAAAAAAGGACTTACGATTCGCAATGCCGCATTCACTTTATGCGACTAAGTATTGTTTCGACAACGTTCCAAGTTGGAATGCGGATATAACTATCCTCGCAATGTTGATTGGTTTAGTTGTATGTATCTAATGGAGCGAAAAAACAATAATTCTATTAATTCGACTATTTCGTAATTAAATGCTTTTTTCTTTGAGAAAGAAATGTTAATAGCTGCAAGTCGCGGTTAGCACTACGAGCACATCATGCACGTGCGGCGGAAATGAGTATCGGCAGCCATGGACAACGATAAGTTGGCGCAACACACGATATGTCTGAAAGCATACATTTGGCTGCATTGAATATACGTGTCGTGCAATATTTTTATTGCACAATTTGTTAATATAAATCAGAATGTATTTGCGACATTTTTTTACTGTAAGGATTTTAATATCGGATCGCATCAGTGTGAATGCGTTCGCTTTAAATACGTTTATTTTGGATATATGTACTTTTGT